ACACACACATGTACACACACACTCACACACATGTACACACACACACATGTACACACACACATGTACACACGCACACATGTACACACACACTCACATACACACACACTCACATACACGCACACATGTACACACACGCACATGTACACACACACATGTACACACACACTCACACACATGTACACACACACACACATGTAGACACACATGTACACACACACATGTACACACACACTCACATACACGCACACATGTACACACACACACATGTACACACACACACATGTACACACACACTCACACACATGTACACACACACACACATGTAGACACACATGTACACACACACATGTACACACACACTCACATACACGCACACATGTACACACACACACATTACACACACACATGTACACACACACACACAGTTGTTCGCTGCAGCTCGTTCACTTTCATGCATCCACATACAAAAATTCTAGCTGGGTGAAGAATTTCCCTATAGCCGTGAAACTTGACATTTCTGCAGGTCTACCACCAAACAAAAATATGTTTTCCAAAAATCTTGATCCAGTAATTTAAAACTTTTTCTCTTTGGGCCCTAAATTTAAAACCGAATTGAGCAGAGTAAGTCTTCCCTGTAAGGACTTCTCTGTTGACATCCACCCCTTGCCGCTTATATGAGTCACCTTATGCAGCTGCGAGCGCCGTACAAATTTTACTGAAACTAAACGCAAACCCATGTTGCCTCCTCCCCCCCCCAGACGTACGATGTGTCCCACAAGGACAAACTAACGGGTGTGGTGGCCACACTGGGCGCGACCTTCACCTGCTCGGGAGACAAGAGTGTCAAGGTCATAGAACCCACGCGGGAGCCAGAGGTCATCGCCTCGCTGGACGTGCACACCAAGGAAGTGGCCAAGGTAGGTACTGACATAGCTGCCATCCACAACGTAACAAATGTTTTCAAGTTTTGAGGGTCTGAGTACGCAAGTCCGTTTGTGTGATGGAAAATATGTCATATTTTCTGTGTTGTGGTATTGCTCCTTGCTGATTAGCCAATCACGACCTCAGAGCTTTCTTGTCCTATCTCCATTTGTTTTAACAGTGAAAATGTGACTTCCTCTTGAGCTCACTCTTTGTTATAGACTGTATTCACTGTTATTAAAAATGGAGATAGGACAAGAAAGCACTGGGGGTCGCAGATGCTGAAGAAAAATTATGAACTTTCGAGACCAGATTTTTTCCTAATGATGAAAATGAAGCTTTTAAGTCAAGGGAAGTGGTGTGATTTACAAGTTCTGACATTATTGTGGAGTGTGGGGTGAATTTATGAATTCAGAAATGTTTATGTGAGTGGGGGGGGGGGTTACTCTTCCGATGTCCTCCAGTTTGATCCAACTTGACACGCTTTTTCCCTTTGAAAAGTGGGCTGCCATGAACTTACTCAGAAAACTTGAACGGGCGTCTGTGGTGTAGTGGTTAGGTGCTTCGCTGTCGCATGCAGGAGAACAGAGGTTTGATTCCTGAGTGGGGAGAACATTTGATGGAGTATCTCGGTCTGTCTGCTGGGATGTTGTATCCCTCTGAGCCCGGGTCTGTCTACTGGGATGTTGTATCCCTCTCAGCCCGGGTCTGTCTGCTGGGATGTTGTATCCCTCTCAGCCCGGGTCTGTCTGCTGGGATGTTGTATCCCTCTCAGTCGGGTTGGCCCTGACAGGCAGGATCGAAAGCCCGCCTCCTAAATGATCTAAATTATGTCCTTACAGAGTACAGTCATGTATGTTTATTTGTAAGATACTTACTTACTACCCATTACGCC